GAGCCTCCTCAAACAGCTTCTGCTTAAGCTCGGACATGGTTGCGTTAGATGACGAAGCCGTTCCTGTTGCTGTAGCCTGAGGTGAGGAACTCTTTTTTATTTCGCCACCTTGTTCCCGTTCTCGTTCTCGTTCTCGTTCTTGCTCTAGTTTGTGTCGTGGACCATCCAGCTTGCTCCTGTCAAATATCTCTTCTTCTTCCCATTCCACATCGTCGTCAGTGGTGGTTTTGGATTTGGCCACCTCGACAATCCCGAGCTCCTGACACTTATCCTTTAAGACCACCAGGCGGTTCCTCAAGTCGATCACCTCCTTCATGAGAGCATCCCGGCTTTGTCGATCTTCCGGGTCGACTCGCATCAAAACCGACAGCCATTCCTGCGCTGCTGGAAGATGTCTTGTTGTCACCAACTTGAGCAAATCCCGGGCCATGTCGAAAATGGCCCCGTTGTCGCGAGATTCCGTGACCATCAATTCCTCTTGATCACGCATGGACCGCAAGCTTTGGATCCCAAACACCTCATTACTGTCCTCTTCATCTTTGTCCACCTCCAAAAATCCATCCTCGTCCTGGACCACCTCCTCCTCCTCGCTCAAGATGGCAAAGCATTCTTCCAGCTGACTCATCGTCGACTCGAGATCTCTCCTCAAGCCAGGGAAATTCTCCGTGAGTTGGAGCAGCCGGCACCGGAGAAGATCTTGCGTGCGCCTGTCCCTGGCATTCTTTTCTTCCTCGGCTCGATTCGCGGCCTCTCGAACACCCGGAAAGTCGAGACGTAGCGTGAACTTCAAGTATTCGTAGCCAAGCTGGAGCTCCTTGTAGTGAGGCCCAAACGTCTCGTTCCATCTCTCCACGATTTCCAGCGCCTTAGCCTTGAGCAGCGCCGCTCGATCCGCGGGAGCTGGGAGCGGCTGGTCGGTGCGGTGCCCTAGGCAGAGAACCATAAATTTCTCGAGCACCGCCACGATCTGGCCGCGAAACAGCTTCGATCGCGTAAAGAGCTGATCGATGAGCAGCAGAGCGAGAAGCCTGACCTGTTGATCCGCCGGAGTGAGAATCCCTCGGCCGATCGATCAAAATGCTAGACCTACCTGGGAGTGATTCTTCCCTAGCCGGTCCATGAGAAGGTCTGCCGCCGCCTTGACATTGTCATCTGAGGCGCGCACCAGCGCCTTGATCGCCTTGAGCAGCGGCTCCTCCAGCTCCTTGCCCGGGGAATTCGTGGCCGCGAGGATGAGATCGCTCAATCGCCCCGCCATTAAAGAAGAGCTAGGGCAATCGCGCGGGAGAAGAGATTGACAAGGTTTCAGGTTCGAATCCAGTTTCTAGTAAAAACTTCCTCACAAGGTCTTAGGTTCGAATCCAGTCTCTAGCAAAAAATTGCCACGGCTTCCATTATTAAGTTGGAACTTTGGACATGGGAAGAAAGCGATTGAGGTAGCCCAGTATTAAACTATACAATGTGTCGGCTTTGAGGAAATATTCCAACACGACTGCAAAGAAACAAGCACGGAAAGATCTAAACAAAGTTTTCTCTAGAAACTTGGATCTTACCAAGACGGAAGCGAAGATACGCGTACTCCACCAAAGATCTCGAGTACAAAACAATTCCCTGTTCCCGAAAGCCTGGAAAATGATAAACTTTGAGAGCGATTCTAGATCTAGAATGTTTAAGATTTAACCTGGTTTTCCACGCTTGTGCATTGCACGGCCAAGCAAGGCGTAACGAGCGTACGTTTCAAGTCGCAGCCTTCGTGGAGCTCCTAGTTTGTGGACGATAGATCTCAGCAATCCACTGTTCTCACAGCGTTGATTATAAGAATAGGAGACTAGAGAGGTGCTTACTCTGTACGAAGGACGATCAGAAAGTCGCGAGAGAGCCCTTCCATGAAATAAGATATGTCGCCCATGGAAAACTTTCTTACTTCGTCCCTTAATCGCGTTCGTTCTTCGGGAGACATGCCTTTTCCGAGACCGGATTTGCTGCAAATCAATAGAACCAATAACTTCAGTGAAAGAAAAAGAAAAAACAATAACCAAAACCTGTCCAGCGTCCGACCGGTCAATATAACAGGCAAAAATCGGGAGTATTCGCCGGCACCGAGTTGCAAGCCCGACTTTTCCATCTCAGCAGGGTCGGAGGTTATCATCGCTTTCCACAAGTTGCAAAAGTTGCGCCTGAAATTTTCATCGAGCTCGCGATAGAGACCGTGATCCAGAATAACTACGAAATAATGTATGGAGAAGAAGGAAAAAGAAACATGGAGCGCATACCGATATGAAAGTTGTGCTTGCTCCCTCGAGCCGGATTATGGCTCACAAGAATGTTTCCAGGATGAGGATCCCCATGTACAACACCGTGACAAAATATCATCTCGGCAAAAATCTCTAGCAACACTCGAGACACCTAGAAAGAAGGATCAGACAACGAACAGCTAGAAAAGCTTCCATCTACCTGTTTCGAATCTATTCCCGCTTTCTCCATGCTCTCTACATCGTCAACCTGAAGAACACAATAAGTCAAGCTGCCAATCAAATTAAAGCTGGATATGGCACCTTGCTACCGTGCATAAACTGCATCGTCAAAACTCGATTTGTGGTGTAATCCTAGGATGAATCATGTTGTTAGCCTGAAAACTTAAATGAGCTGCGAATAGAAAGCTCACAAAGCTTTCCGTACCCAAAAAACTGAAGGAATTTTCACTTCCTTTTTGTTTGCAAAGTTTGCTGTTGCTCTTTCCGCGCTTCTTGCCTCCCGTGCGAAATCTAAAAACACAAAAAGTTCAGATTCGAAATAAAAAATATCGATTGCGGCTACTTGCCTAGTTCACTGAGAAGATTCTTTTCAAACTCCGGCACTAGCCATTCAAATTGATAGTCTGGAAAAAGCTGCAAAAAGAACGTCACGTTTCCCATGATTCAAGGAAAAACAACAAGCTGACAATGATTCAAGCAACAGGAATAGAAAATACCCAAGCAACGCATTTGGAAAGAAAGGCCATCGTAGAAATATCGATCTCGAATTGTCGTTGCAATCCTGGATATTGGACCTGCTTACAAAAAACTTAAGCAACAGAAAAAAAATCTTTATGGTGAAGTGACTTACTTTTACAGCAACTTCTTCGTTTTCAGAGAGCCAAGCATGATGCACTTGAGCAAGTGACGCTGCAGCAAGAGGCTTTTCATCGAACTCGTGAAACCTGAAAGAACAACCAAGACAATGAAAGATATGCTACCAAGTACTTCTTCATACATGTCTCCTGGAGTCCTTCCAAACTCTTCTAAGAAAACTTGTTTTATTGCTCTGTAAGGCCAAGCCTGTGCCTAGAAAATCAAAAGAAAACACGAAATCAGGCAGAAACAAGCTTTCTCACAACGCACCTGATCTTGCAAAACTCGTAGAGTCTCGACATACTCCTTCGGGAACTGCCCGAGGGATGCTATAAACTGTCCAGCCTTTGTGTAAAATCCTCTGTTAGCTTCACAAAGTCTTAGAATGCGTTTAGCAGCTCTGAGATGGACCTACAAAAATAAAAATTCATTGAGCTGTTTGCTCCTCGCAAACACGAGTGAGAGAATACCTGTGAAAGAACCTCGTAATACTCCTCGGTTTTCTTGTCATGGTCGCGCAAACTAAATTTGTAGTCTACACTGTTGAGCGCGAACTGGATATTTTCAGAGCCGAGTGAGCCTATGATCGATCTACAAATCGATCTGAAGAGCAAGAGGGAAGAAATTCTGTACTTACAGTGTAAACAGCACGAGTCGATCGAAAAATTCCGAGCGCTGGCGCAGCTCCATCGAAGCTCTCGTATGCTACCAATCCAGCGACGATCGAGGCGCTTGTCAGCAGCGGCCTACGCCTGAGGCGCGCGGCGAGTAGCGCCATTTCTTTCCAGCCCTAAAAACTCTCTCTGGATGTAAGATGGAGAGAGTGAGAGGGAGTGAATATTCGTTTCTTGGATCTTCCATGGATTTTAGGTCGTGTTCTTCCTCGCGAGAAATTTGGGCGCGATGTCGAGCACAGTCTCCCAGACCGAGCGCGGCCATGAGAGATTCCGGGAGGGCAAGTACGAGGAGGCGCTGGAGCTCTACTGGGACGCATTGGCTGCCGCGACGCTGGATTCGCATCGCATAGCTCTCCACAGCAATCGCGCTGCGTGCTACCTCAAGCTCCGCAAATACAAGGAGGTGAGAACTAGAGCTAGAAATTCTCGCGGTCTAATGTCGAGAAATCCTCCATCCAGGCCGCGGAAGAATGTGGAGCTGTGCTCGAATTGGATGACAAGCAAACCGGCGCTCTAATGCTCCGCGCACAAACGCTTGTCATCATGAAGGACTATCACTCGGCGCTGTTCGATGTCAACAGGCTGCTGGAGATCGATCCATCGTCTCCAGCCTACAAGAATCTGCAAGCCCGAGTCAAGACCCAGCTCGTAAGTCAGTAGTTCTAGCGAGAATTCGGCCGCATTGGCAGCTCTAACTCGTCGCAATCCAGGCACTGGATCCCATCCCGGAGGCCGAGAACGAATTCATGCCCGAATCCACTCCCAATTCCCCCAGAGTTTCCAAATCCCCCAACACGATGCTGGCAGCGGCGAGAACACCAACTCCCGCGAATTCCAAGGAACCGGGCACGAATTGGGAGGCAGTTCCAAAGCCCAAGGGGCATTCGAAGCTGGATTACTCGCGCTGGGACAAGATTGGCGCCGATCTAAGCGACGACGAGGAGGAAGAGATCGAAGAACAGCCCCAATACAGATATAAGCTAAAAACCATTGGCCTTAGAGCAGCCGCGAGCTATTGACAAGAACACTTTCACTGGGCCAGTGTAAAAATTCGCATACACAGGAAAATTCAAAGGAAATTCACAGGATAGTTAAAAAACTTTTTTTACTACTCTCCACCTCTATAGCCATGTGTCCGTGCGATGGGGGCATGACACCACCATGCTTGCCACCACAAAACGCTGGGCATGGACCCACCCATTTGTGATTCGTGCCATTAAACTATCATGGCCATGGCCATGCCACATGATGCTAAGGAAACGGCAATAGCAATGGAGAAAGGGGTTCTAGGGTTTGCTTCTAGGGCATGGCACGCGCCTGGATCCATTCGACGCACTCCGGGTAAGCGCTCCTCCTTTCTCGCCTAGCGAGTGACAAGGCAGCTCCTCGGCGCTGGCGCGCGTGGCGCTGATTTCCCTAGCACTGAATTCGTTGCGTTTTTTTCCAGCGCGGATTGAGTGAGGGCCGAGGAAGGAATCCGGGCTTAGGGTGTAGAGCACTCGATCGATGCGTCGGCGCTAGTGGATCGAGTTGAGGGGAATTGCGTTGGATTGGATCGGATTGGAAGAATGGCCACGGCGCTGGAACCTGCCACTTACTGGTGCCATCAGTGCCACACGTCCGTGAGGCCCAACGCCGGGAATGACATCCTTTGTCCGTTCTGCAATGGCGGCTTCATCGAGGAGATCGAGAACTCGCCAGGGATCGTTTTCCCGCCGCATCGCCAGAGACCAACCGTCATCTTTGGTGGTGAGCCGGGATCTGGGAGGGAAACCAGAGGTATCTCTGCTGATGGCGATACTCCTCCCGCTGGTAACCAAGGTGTTCGTCATCCTCCAATTTTCCAGGTTCTCCAGGCCATGTCCGCGATTCTCCAGCAAAGTCGAGACAACAACAACAACAACAACAACAACAGCGCTGGTGCGAATCAAAGAGACGGCGCCGACCACGCGGATCCACTTGATCCCATGATCCTCGTCCAGAACATGTTTGGAGGCAGAGGTGGAAACGTGGAGGTGTTCTTCGACACGGGCACTGGAGCTCGACGCTTGCCGGCAAACTTTGGAGACTACTTCTTCGGGCCGGGCCTGGACCAGCTGATCCAGCAACTCGCAGAGAATGATCCCAACAGGTATGGCACTCCACCGGCGTCCAAGACAGCGATCGAAGCCATGCCCGTGGTGAGCATCACCAGCGAACACATGAGCGGTGACGGTGGGCAGTGCGCGGTGTGCAAGGACGAGTTTGAGCTGGGGTCGGAGGTGAGACAGATGCCGTGCAAGCACCTCTACCACGGCGACTGTATCCTACCATGGTTGGCGCAGCACAACTCCTGCCCGGTTTGCAGGCACGAGATGCCGACCGACGATCCAGAGTATAACAACACTGCACCGGGGCGAGGCGGGGCTCAAGCCAGCCGGGCTGCGAATGCCGAGATCGGTGGTGCTGCTGCTAGCGGTGGCGGCGGCGGCCCTGGTCGTGGTTTCACTCTCTGGGGATCTGGAGCGAACTTAAATCTGGATGGTCACCAGCACCACCAGGACAGCGGGAGCTCGAGACCGGCGGAGGAGCCCCGGAGTAACAGGCGAGTCTCGTTCCAGTTTCCATGGCCATTTCGCTCGTCTTCGTCTCCGCCACCAGCCCCAGCTCCTGCTCCTCCATCGTCGTCTTCGTCGCAGCAGCAGCATGGAAGCTCCTCGGCCAGCGACCAGCCGGAGAATCGAGATGACCGCCGTAACTAGCGTCGTACATATGTTTTCTAAGTGTACGGGGGGAAGAATAAGTGATAAGGAGTTGCTGGGAGGGAAGGGTGCGGAGAACTTGTGAAGTTTCCTTCTGGAAGAAACGTTTACGCGATGCTGGACGTAGCACGAGTAAAATGTGGTGATTATTTTTTATACAAGATTTATTTCTCCTCTCTTTCCTTTTTTTTATTAATTTATTTTTGTCCAATATCTATTCGACTTTTTGTTGGTTTATGGAAATATTTCACGTGTTTGTCATGCAAACACACACAATCCTTCCATTATGACGCACAGTACTTAAACCATGAGTGTGATAGATTGATCAAGGGTGGCCAAAATGTTGGTCCAGATCCCCAACCTTTAAGACGATAGGAATTTTCTCTTTTGAACTTTGAAAGTCCATCTAAAAATTCGAAGGACCCAAGAAACTAGAAGGAAGACCACCCTTTAATCGAGAGACCTTAGACTCACCCGTGATTCTTCCCGAGAATATCCCACCGCAGGACACCACGCACGCGGTACCACACGCTCCTATCCAACAAACGTGCGCATTATCGAATGCGCACGTGAAAATTTGGCATTGCCAGGTAGCCAGGTGGCACGGATGACGTCCCCGCGCTGACACGTGTCGCAATGTGGAGGGCATCCGTACGATCCAACGCGCAACTATTGGGGACATAAGAACCAGTGGGGGAGGCTTCGAAGGAGTAGAAGAAACATCAATCCCCAAAGAACAGGGTCAAGACAAAGAAGAACCACTCCACTCCAGGAAATTTCCCCTCGATCCATGATCTTCTCTCCGGCGCGCTACAATTCGTGCTGCCTGGGATCGATGGAGGACAAGGAATGGAGCTCGCAGAGCAGTGGATTCGATGCGTTCTTCGATGAGGAGCTAATGCAGGGGATGTTCTACGATGTGGCTGGAACAGAGCAGGCGATCATGGTGGATGCGCTCGCCCACGCCGGGCATGATCAACAAGAGCAGCAGCAAAATCACGAGCCCAGTGTCCTTCCCGCGCTCGCTCAGGAGGATTTGAGCTGGGCCGCGCAGTCCAATTGGCGATCCAAGCGGGCCAAGAGCCACGATTCCTCTTCCAGCTCCGACTCGGATCAAACCAACAAGGCGCCCATCTCCGGTATGATCTCTTCTCCCTTGGGAATTCTCGACTAGCAGACGATCTTACATTCTATCATTCGCCCTCGCAGAAACGAGCTCTGCTAGAGCGCTCAAACCCAAGAAGCCCAGCGATGGATCCACCAGGCGCCATCGCCGGACCAAGTTTCGTGGGGTGCGGCAGCGTCCCTGGGGGAAATGGGCTGCCGAGATTCGCGATCCAGTGAAGCAGGCCAGAGTGTGGCTGGGGACCTACGACAGCGCCGAGGACGCCGCGCGAGCCTACGACGAGGCCGCCATTCGATTCCGGGGCATTCGCGCCAAGCTCAACTTCCCGGACGATCCCAGGAACGCCTACGAGATGTTTCCCTACCAGCCCAAGCGATCGGACGCTGCGATCGCGCAGGCATCCAGCGGCAGCGCTAGCGCTTCCATGCTACCGCCCCAAACACAGCATAAGCAGCTAATGTCACAAACGCCCACACAGGGGATTTGCATCGCGCCCACGGATTCCACCAAGGTTTCGACCCAGCAGCAGCAATTCCCACTCTCGATCGACGCCGCGCGGTGCATCAACAAGCTCTCGGATCTTCTCTTCAGCGACTTGAGCTCACCAGTGGCCATGGTGGCCCCAGAAGCGCATCAAATCAATCAGCCACTCCCGGAGAGGAGGAGCTTCCCATCTCCCCCGCCGCTGGTGGTCAATCGCGCGTCAATGCCATCGTCCTCGTCGTCTTGGGTCGATCAACTGCTGGAATCTCCGCAAGTGGCGTCGTCGTCGTCCTTGTCGATCATGGAGGCATCAGTTGTATCATCATCCACAGCACTGGAGCAACTCATCTCGCAGCCAATGTGGAGCCCCACTGCGATGGTGGCGCCCATCTTCACGCCGCAAATCGCCGAGGCCTCCTCCAATTCCCCCACGGCCACGCTCTGGCCTTCTTTCACCTTTTCTTCCTGTTGACAATCAAAACCACGAGACCATTGAGTCCATTGTTCCCAGGAGTGATCTTGGGCTATAGTCACTTTAAACCATGGTTTCTTGCTCCATCTCGACAGCCTGCTCGGCACACTTTGCTATGGAGCACGCCAGCTTTTCCGGCGATGGTACGTGAGAGGCCGCGGTAGCCGCGGCAGTAGGCCATTTCTTGAGCCTCGTCTGGAAGAACAAACCCTCGAGAGTGAGCGAAAGAGCTGGCAGAACTTTGGTTTACCTTGGCTTGCTCCTCGCAGTACTTGACAACGTCGGCTATGCTCGCTGCTCGGCCGTGAACCAGCGCAAAAGCCCATAGCAGCAGCTTCCTTGGAGTGCTGAGGTCGAGGGGGTCAAACCCCGGGATCGCTTGGATGCCTGCCGCTGGCTCGGTGGACGCTGCTCCCAGGGGTGATGCCATGAAGAGGTTTATACCGCTCGGGAATGGCCCCGACGTGACTTCCCGGTAGAACACGAAGGTGGCACGGAGGTAGCTGTGAGCTTTCTCGGCGTTGTCCGGAGAGACTTGGACGATCGGCACGGCTTTGATGCGGGAGATGTAGGCTGCGGAGGCCGGAGGAGCAGCGCTTTCTTCCGCTCTGGCTGCTGCTGGAGATGGAGAGACTTGGGAGATCTTGCTCGTGGTGTCGGCGTCGTAGGGGCTGAAGAGGAGGACGTCGTATTGCAAGTCGACGATGAGCTGCGGGGTGTGGTCCGGCAACCTCTCGAGCGGGGTGACGGACGCGAGGGCCGAGCAGAGAGCCCGGCACCAGGCGACGGTGGCGTGCCGGCAAATCTGTGAGAAGTGAGGATTGCTTAGCTTTTGATGCTTGAAACGCTTCCGTATCCTCTCGTTCACGAGCTCCAGTGCGTCCACGCGACAGTCGTTCTCCAGGTAATGGAGGTAGCGATGGATGTAGCTGAAGGAAAAGAGCTGAGATCTTTGGAAAAAAAAAAAAACAATGGATCTTTCTTACCAGTAGACAGCCACTTCTTGTCCCTCTGACTCGGACGTCTCCGCCCACCATATCCCGTGATCCATGAAGAGATTAAACATTCTTTCGAGAAGGCCTTGCAAGGAACTGAAGGACGAAGACGAGGAGCTTTCGGCCTGAGTGATGGTTGCGCCCAAAGCATGCACGTAGGATGAAAGCGCTGCGCTTGCTATATCTTCGAGGCAAATGGAGAACTGAAAGAACCGAGACCAAAACATCCGAAGATCACGTAAAAACCGATGTTTTCCCTATTCTCTTACCCTCTTGTCTATGCGGAGTGTGGAATATGCACGCTCCAAGGTGACATAATCTCCAGCCTTCTCGCAGAGAACGAAGTAGAGTAACAGGTACTTGCGAACGCATGTGATAAACTTTCGGGAGCTTTCTGGGAGCCCGAGCTCCAAAGTCTTCTTGGCATAAGTGTGGCCGGTTGCCTTGCGCCTGCAAAAACAACGACCTGTGAAATGGTTGTTTTCCTTGCAACAAAACTTACTTGTTCTTCTTGATAACGCCGTCGAGTTCCCACATATTTATCGTGAAGAGCGATCGACTCGATCGGAAACAAAAGGCGAGCTCTTCCTTGGCTCTCTCCCAGTCCTGTTCTTCCGCTCGGCAGTAGAGTCCTTGGGCAATGCAGAAACGAGCCTTGTGAAAGTGCTTTAATTCTCCATCAGTGCACGCCTGCATAGCGGAAATACAGTCCTTGAAAAGAGCTCTCCATGCCGTCGCTATGTCACTCTGATAAGCTTCCTCGTTGCCAACTTGCTCGTCTGGTTGCTTGAGCTTACTGTTGACGAGCTCTTCTGTAGAACTTGAATAACAAAACTTGGCCACAGTCTGGGGAAGGAAATCATAAAAACTTCTATAGTCTCGCTACATGGAAAACAAAGTTACCTCGATGATTTGCATGTCGTGATAACGCCCTTTGCAAAGCAGCTTCAGCCGTGAGCGATGCAGACGGTATAAAGAGTCAACAGCTGAAGGATTCAGCTCAATGGCCCTCTTGTACAAGCTAAAGGATTCTTCGCTGGGCTTTTCGAGTTTCTCAGAGAGCTTGCCAAGATAAAGCAAATGCGTCCAATCCGGTCTGCATACCACAAGTTGAAAAACGAGATTTAGAGAGATATAAAGAAGGAAATACCTCAGTGAATATGCTATCTCGCAGTGCTTGATCGCATTTAGGCACCTCGAAGTCCAAAGAGCGTCTTTCTTTTGAACGTGAGAGCGTTGATCATACGAAGGAACTGTATTCTGAAGAGTCTCATAATAGACCAACGCCAGAAGCTCGTGAATCTGGAACTACGTCATCAAGCATCACAGCAAATTTGGACTTGAAAAAAGTACTCACCTCGTGCTTTGCTTGAGGAGCTAGTGCCAAACTCATCAAAAGGCAGCGTCGACTTCGTCTCCGGCTAGTTTCCACTCTGGACGTTAGCCTCGCGTTCTTTCGCCACTCGAGAACATTTACATTCTTGCTACCGTCGTTAAGCAGGAGATCAACTTCCTACAACCAAAAAGATCACACAGAGATCAGATCGTCAGTCTTAAACAAAGAAGAATACCTCGTCGTAAATGCCTGCGAGTTTGTGCCAGCTCTCGAACCGCAGCATGTTGTAAAGAAGATCGTATTTGAAGAGGCTCGAGACATGCTCAAAAAACTCCTCCCCTTCCTTCGTGAACACGAAACCAGGCGATCTATCGGTGGGCGACGTCTCCTCCACCTGACTTAGCAGGAAATAGAGATTCTGGTACACCTCCGCGTAAGACTGGGTGTTTGCTTCAGCCTCTTCACTCTTTGGTTCCTCTGTAGGAGTGGAATAGATTACCACGGCAGTAGCGGGATTCTCCTCTTGCTTGGGAAAAGCAAAGCTGACAAGCTCGTCGACGTTGGTTCTGTTGATCACCATCTCCGAGAACTTGTCCTCGTCAAAAGACAAGTCGTCCATAAAGGCGTCCACGGCATTTCCCACCAGGATGTTTGAAGGTGGCTGAGGAAACTGCTTACGAACGGCTTGCAAAACCTTTCGCAGCTTTCCCAGGCCGGTTTTCTGCAGGTGGAATCGAATCCATCAGTCGAGCACAAGAGTAGAAACAGCCAAAGACTTACCGAGCACGCTTTAGCGTAGGGAAGAACATACTGAAGCACGGCGGC